TGCTGTGAGCGATGACGTGCTGCTGCTGCCGCCGAAGCGCGGCAAAGTGGGCAAGCAGCTGGGCCGCAACCGCATCGTGTGCCGCGTGGTGGAGATCAAGCGGCCCTTTGGCGTGACCATGTACCGGCTGCGGAGCGGAGCTGGAGTGGTGGAGGGTATGCATCAGGCCAGCAGGCTATCTAAGGCGCCACCCAGCCTGGCCAGCGAGCTGACCTTCAGCGGCACGGCGCAGCGAGGAGTGCCTGTGGTGTCTCTCAATGTGGCGATGGCGGCGCAGCCCGGCGGCGGCAAGGCAGCCGTGCGCTGCGGCTGCCGCGGCGCCTGCACCCGGAACTGCAGCTGCAAGAAGAATGGTGCGCGGTGTGGGCGGCACTGTGGCTGTATAACCGGTAAGGGTGGCAATTGCAAGAACCATTGAAAAAGTGTGCCTTGTACGCTTTGCCGTCTCCGCTGGAAGGTGCTGCCGCCTGTGGCGGCTTCATATTTCCTGTTCATTTCTGTTGTTCGGTCTCTCTGTTCGTGTTGGTTGGCTTGTAAGAGTTGTATTTCTGACGCTAGAGAGGTGAGATGACAGCGGGAGCGTTGAAGCGTGCATGCCATCACGTGTGCAAGCAGCCCCGCTCCGCCCCGCTCAACCCTCAAACAGGGCTATATGGGGTCAGTTCACGTATGGGAGGGGAGCGCCGCGCGGGCTGCCAGGAGGGAGCGGGGGCGGGGGTTGCCCAATCGGGAGGGTGCCACATCAGGGGGCAACACATGCACGATGCAGCATTGCCCGGCCTGCTTGGTGCTTGCAAACGCAGCTGCCGGCATGCTGCCACCCACCGGCATCCCAGCTGGCCCGCCCTGTGCAGCTGCCACGCCTATCCAGCCTGTCCCTGTGGGACTGTCCCCTCACGATACTGCCCTCGTGCGTCTGCCGGCTGACAGGGCTCAGGTGGGGTCTGCAGGGCAGGGCAATGCCGTGCACCACAGCTTTGCTAAGCCCATGCGCTCCTACATTCATGCGTCCTGTCGTTCTGCTGCGCGCAGGGCGCTGGATCTGGGGCAAACCGAGATCAGGCAGCTGCCCAGCGGGCCGTACCTGGGCGGGCTGAAGACGCTGCTGTTGGAGGGGCACCGCATGACCCGCCTGCCGCCCTCGCTGCGCGATGCTGCACAGCTGGAGGTGAAGAGGGCACCGCTTGCTGTCCCTCCTCTTTGCCGGCTGCGTATCTGCCCGGCTCTGTTCTTGCCCAATCTCCTGCCAGCCTGCGCTGCTGCTGCAGGTGCTGGACTTGGGACGGCTCGTGCCTGGATCATGGTACCCCTATGAGCGCAACAACAAACCCAGCCCCGGGCTGGCTCTGACATTTGACGATGTGGCCATCCTTGCGGGCATGCGCAGCCTGCGGTTGCTGTGCGGCGCAGGCGGCGTGGGGCCCTTCTTCAACTTCATCTTTCCACAGCTGTACGTGTCGAATCGCTGCCTGAATCAGCTGCCCCAATTTGTGCCCAGTGGATGGGACCGCGGCATCGATGCTGAGCTGGTCCTTCAGGCTGCTGGCATGAAGTTCCAGGTTGCTGGCATGAAGTCCCAGGCATTTGTGTCCAATTTTGTGGAGGAGTTCCCGACCGCCGCGGCCCAGCTGCAGGAGGCGCTGCACAATATTGGGGCCGGTCCGCTGCAGAGTATGCAGCGGTTGGTTGAGGCTCTTCGAACGGCCTTTGCCGCTGCCACCCATGAGCCCGTAGCATGAGGCCACACACTGCCACTCCCCACCACTCATGCCGTTCGCTATGTCTTCCCTGCTCCTGTGCCTGTAATGTTTGGACAGCCAGCTGAATCCATTTTGCGCATGCACCACCGTAGCGTCTTCCCTGCCTCACCGTGAGGCGCAGCACCAGCACACCAGCATGTCAGCAGTGTGAGCTTACCAGAGTCAGCAGGAAATGAGTGGAAATGAGCAGGAAGGAGCAGCGGAGGAACCAGGGGTGCACAGGAGCTGCGTCGGGCCGCGCCGCCGAGCGCTCCCCCTCATGAGATGAGGGTGAATGGATCAGAGGATCTTGGAGCGCGGCCGCGGCTGCTGCCGCTCCACATGCAGCTTCTCGTCTGCCGTCAGCTCACGCTGGCTGCCATCGGGCGCCGACACATACGGCTGCCGCTCGCCGCTGCGCGCCGCCTTGCCCAGCGGCTGCACCAGCAGGCCCCAGCCGCCCTCGGGCCGCTTGGGCGGGTGCTTCTTGCGGCTGCTGCGGCTCAGGCTGGCGCCCGTCTGCAGGACGAGCATGCGGGAGGCATGAGCTCAGCCGCCACAAACCCAGGCCCAAAAAATTCACGGCAGCAGCATGGCAGAGGCAAACCCCCGTGCCAGGCAGCGGTACGCAGCTATGCGGCGGTACCATGCGGCGGTACGCCCACCTTGCCCAGGTTGTAATCCAGGCTGCGCCTGAACTCCGCCACCAGGTGCTCCTCCTCCTTCTCAGCCAGCTCCTGCTCAAGCGCCTCCTTGTCCATGCCCGCCGCCGCCAGCAGCTGCAGCGGGACGGGCGGGAGGGGCGACAGGGGGCAGTCGAGCCGCTGCATGAGGGTGCCACCGCCACACGACGCATGCGCCCTGCCACCTCGCTCTCTGCCGCAGCCGGCCGCCTGCCTCGCACCCCAGCTCCCAGCCCCGCGGCGCCAGCGCCCAGCCCAGCACCCTGCAGCGACAGCACTTGCAGCAGCACCGCAGGCGGCCCCAGCGCCTGCAGGATGCAGGATGTGGGTCGGCCCCAGCGCTCACCTCCTGCGTCACCTCCACGCTCATGTCCTCGGGCTCAATCTCGTCAAACGGCTTGCCTACCCGCTTCTCCAGCAGGGCCGCCAGCCGCCCTGCCTCCGCTTCCGTCAACTCCTGCGGACGTTGATGGAGACAACGAGAGCGAGTGTGTGTGAGTGTGTGTGTGTGTGTGTGCGCGCGCAAGGGGCGAGGCACGCTGCCGGGGCGGCTGTGTGTGGCGGCGCGCCTGCCGCTGGCGCCTGCGCCGCCTGCTGTGGCCCCACCTGCAGGTGCCCACCCTCCCTATACCTCTGCTCCACACCCAGCCGGCCAGTCAGCCAGTCAACCACACCTGCTCAGCGCCCCCTAACACACGCTCTCCCTCCCCGGCCCACCTTGAAATTGGGGAAGGAGGGCAGCACGACATGGTGCCACTCCCCGCTGCCCACCACATGATGCGCCCCAAACTCATCCTCCAACGCCTCTGCACGACGCAGGCGGGAGGGCGGCGCAAGGCAGGTGGGCGGCGCAGGGCAGGCAATCAGGCCGGCGGGCGGGCGGACGCAGCGGGGCGCCGGCACGGCGCCGCAGGGCCCAGGCAAGCACCAGGCAGGTCGGCTGGGGACACTCCAGGCTGGCCAAGCCGCCAGGCAGGTCGTGCGCAGCATGCGCTCGGCCCCCGGGCAGCCACCCGCCGGTGGTCTCCCCCCACCTGCCAGCTCTGTGTGCAGCTTGATGCCCGCCTGGCGCGCAGCATGCTCCCGCTCCTTGAGCGCCACGATGGCCATCACCCGCTGCTGCCGGATGCGGAAGTGCTCGGCCAGCGCCGGCACCTCCCACCTGCGCGCAAAGGCACACCAGCAGGCAGGCGGGCGGGTGAGCGGCGGGAGCGGAGCGCAGGCCCGGAGGATGCGGCGGTGGCGGCGGCAGATCAGATCAGGTCGGCCCACACCCTCCTCCCGAACACATTTCCCTGGGCCAAGCCCTGGCCTCTAGCGCAGCTGCAGCCGCCGACAGGCAGGCAAGCAGCCAAGCCCGCCATCACAAGCCCCAGAACAGCCCCACCAGCAAGGCCCCAGCACCTCCCTCCCTCCCTCCCTCCCTCACCCCTCCCTCACCCCTGCTTGGCATGCATCTCATACATGAGCTCCTTGGCCTCCTCGCTCAGCAGCGCATTCTTCCAGGGGTCGGCCGCCCGCCCCTCAGTCAGGTCCACGCCCCAGTTGATCTGAGGGCAACGGGGTGCGGGGGAATGGCGGCGAGGCGGCGCGGGATGAGTGAGGCTTTGTTTTGGGGAAGCGAAAGCAAGCAGCGAAGAGCGCAGGAGCGCCGGCCGCCCCTCCTGCAGCAGCTCGGCTGGGCAGCTAGGGTGGCCACCCCCCGCCACTCCCCCCACCCCCACCCACCATGGGCGTCTCCTCATCCACCTCCAGCACCTCCCAGGGCAGGCGCCCCGGTGGCGCGACGTTGACCGTGGTGCTGCGGGTGCCTGCAGCAGGGCGGGACCACGGTTGGCATGTGTATGCACGCACACACGCGCGCGCATGTGTGTGCATGTGTGTGCGTGCAGCCTCAGCATAAGCGTGCTGGACGCGACAGCGCGCCCGCCCCGTGCTGCCCACCCACCCACCCACCGTCCAGCACTTCGTGCAGCCCCTCGGCCAGCCCTTGCAGCAGGTCCCGGTCAAACTCCTCCAGGCTGTCCACCTCTGGGTCGGCCTCGGGCGCTGCCCTGCACGCACAGCAAGCGGCACGTCAGGCAGTGGGCCCGGGCGGCTGCTGGCACCGCACCCGCTCCTCCGTGGCTGGCGCGACAGCCGCTCCAGCTGGATGGCACTGGCTGCCGGGCATGGCTGCGCCTGCCAGCGGGCCGAGAGGGCAGCCAGTGGGCCCCTCGCGTCCTTCATCTCCTCTTCCGATGGCTGCTGCTGCTGCGGTACCGGCCTGCGGTACCGGTGGCCCTGGCTGGGCAGGGCAGGCAAGCACTCACATGAAGTACAGGTCTAGCGCCTCCAGTACCAGGCGCAGGTGGTCCTCTATGGGGCTGTCGGGGTCGTTCCCCAGCGCCTCCATCACCTCCTCTTCCGTCACTGCAGCGCACGGCAGCAAGGCGCGGGCAGGAGGGCGGTACACCACGCTCAGATCCGGAGCTGCCAGCCTGCCGCTGTGGCCTCCGCAGCAGCCCGATGCCCGGTGCGTGCGTGCCAGTCGTCTCCCGTGTGCGCTGGCGTAGCCGCGGCGGCGCCAGAGGCGCTGCCGCCGCTCCCACCCACCCTGGCCGCTCTCTATCCGCTCCACCACATCCGCCAGCTTCTCAAAGATGCTGTCCGCCTCGTCGGGGTCGTCGGGCGCCGCCTCCAGCGCCGCCGCCAGCGCCGGGGAAACGGCTGTCTGGATTTCCCACCCCGCCGCGGCGTTCATCTCCACCTCCTCGTACAGCTGCTCCTCAGGCGACAGGACTGCATGTTGGGCAGGAACAGGGAGGGCGCAGCACCGAGCGCGGTGGGCAGGCAGCAGCCAAAAGCAACAGGCAGGGATGGTGGTGCAGCAGCAGCGAGGTGGATGGTGCATTGGATGCTGCAGCAGGGTTGCAGCGCTTGGTTGCGGCTGAGAGGGGTAAAGCAGCCTGGAGAGAACCGAAGGTGTGCAGGGGACTCCGCCAGGCGGCGGCGGCGGCAGGCGGTGGCGGCGCCCCAAGGCTCACCCGGCGGACGAGTGGGCACGCGGTCGGCGGGGTCATCTGCAAGTGCCCTTCTCTTTGCCGCGCCTGCCCGTCCAGCTTTTGGGTTCCCTCCTGCACCCTCCTCATCGCTGTCACTATCGCTGCTGGCCGGCCCGGCCCGGCGCCGCGCCTCTAGCGTTGCTGACAAGTGGAGGGCCGCTCCCTGCTGCAATGCCGCAGACTGCCGGCTCGACAGCCGCAGCGTCTGCGCCAGGCAGCCCGAGAGCCGCTGCAGCACTGCCATCGGCCACCCGCCAGCGCTACGAGCCCAGTGGCTCCCAAGTTGATGGCTGGCAAGCCGGCAAAGACGTCACACAAGCCAAGCAGGGCCTCGCTCCAGCATGCAGCGTTTGCTGGCGGGCACTTGGCTGCCCGGGCAAACAATTAAGAGGCAGATGGCGTGGAAAATGTGCAGAAATGGTCCGATGGCGCTTGCTTTATCATGCCGCGCCTGCTGTGTCGCCTCGCCAGGCGGCACCACCGCCCGCCGCAGTCTGCGCCTCCCATGCCAGCGCCTGTGATGGCCCACCTTCCAGCCTAGTGTGCCTGCCTGCCTGACCTGCCAACCCCAAAGCCCATGTCTGTCAGCACGCACACATGAGTTTGTTGCAAATCGAATGGCCGCGCCGCGCGGCTGGCGAGCGGGCGGCCAGACACTTCAGCAATTCCTGTCGCAAAATCACCACAGACCCAAGGACAAGCAAAACACGCTAGGAGCACGAGGCCGCAATCAATGCTATACGACACAGGACCAGATTTGGGGGTGGGGGGTGTGAGTGAAAAGAGGCGACGAGGGGGAAGAGACAAAAAGCAAGGGAGCATCAGGCAACAGTGCGCTCGCACGCACGCACAGGCGCGCGCTGCACACACGTGCACAGAGCAAATTAAACACTCCACAACAAAACCAGCCGGGTAGGCGTGTGAGGGAGGAAGCTCTCGCGCGCCGACCCGGGGAAAGAAGGAAGGGAAGGATCGGGGTTCATCCTCTGGGGCTTATCTCCCAGCAAGGCTGCGGTGCGGTGCTTCGCTCACATATGAGTGATAAAGGCGGGACAGGACCGCCGGTGGGTGGCTGGGTGGGGTGGGGTGATGGAAGCATGTAGTGCGGATAGCGCAGCGCCGGGGCAGCGCGCCGCCATCACGTCGCCAGAGGCGTAACAACCTGCGGTTTGGGAACAATACAATGGGTGGTGAGGTTGGAAAGCTGATGGGATGACCAGGTATCAGCATGACGCAAGAAAGCGACAGCCATCTCCACCCATGCCACCCACCTAGTCACTCTCGCCATGCGCCCACAAGCCCTCGAGCTCATCACTTGTGGCCGAAGAACTGGAAGATCAGGCCATCTGCACACGATACGAAGGAATGACATGGTGAGGCGAGGTAATGACGCACTGCTTGCCAGTGCAGCGCTGTCCTACATCCACACACATCAGCGCCCACAAAACACACACACCCACACCAAACCAACCAGTCAGCCCAAACTTACTCTTAGTGTGGCTGACAAAAGTCGAGTGGCGGTGGCGGTGGATGGGGAGGCGGAGGCAAGGAGGAGGGCAAGAAAGGGAGGGTCAGAGAATGACAAGGAGCGCAGCGTGCATGTCGTGGTGCACAACGTGCGCAAACCACCGGCGCCACACCACGAGGCCAACCGCCGCAGCACCGGCCCACACCCCACTCACGCCAGGAAGAAGGGCGCCAGCACCAGCGATTCGACGGCCATAAGCTTGATGAGGATGTTGAGGGAGGGGCCGGAGGTGTCCTTGAGCGGGTCGCCCACGGTGTCGCCGATGACGGCAGCCTGTGTGCGAGAGAGGGGGGGGCAGCCCAGCGAGAGGCGGAGCGTTCACGAAAGATGACACACAGAGCGCGCAGCGTGCACAGCATGCGCAGAATGTGCACACCACCACCATGGCATGAAGCACAAGGGTACATGCCCCCGAAACCCTCGCGCACGCCTCGCCGCCACTGCACACAACACCCCCCGCCAAGACCCCCTTGCCCCCACCACCACCACACCCCACCTTGTGGCAGTCGGAGCCCTTGCCGCCCAGCTCGCGCGCGTGGTCCGAGGCGCCGGCCTCAATGTACTTCTTGGCGTTGTCCCAGGCGCCGCCGGTGTTGGACATGGACACGGCCATCTGCACGCCGCTCACCAGCGCGCCCGCCAGCACGCCTGCAGGGAGCCAACAGGAGAGGGGGAGGGGCGAGGGGCAAGGTGAGGACCCTGGGACGCGGCGGCTCGCAGCAGCAATGTGTGCGCTGCGAGGCGATTCAACGCAGGGGCGGCGCGTTGCGCTGCTGGGCCCAGCAGCCTCCATCAAGGGCCGGCCGCTGCCGCCGCCATGCGCCGTGCGCCGTGCGCGGCGGGTCGTCGCCCCGCGCCCGCACCTGCCAGGGTGCGCACGCCGAACAGGGTGCCCACGATGAGCGGGGTGCCCATGACCAAGAAGCCGGGGGGGATCATCTCGGAGATGGAGGCAGCGGTGGAGATCTCCACGCAGCGGCGGTAGTCGGGGCGCGCGGTGCCCTCCATCAGGCCTGCGGGAGGGGTGAGTGGGGCGAGGGGGGTGAAGGGGGTGAGCGAGGCGAGGCGGGGGAGCGGTGAGGTGGAGGTATGCGGTTGGGCGGTAGCGGTGGGAGCGGCAGGTGCCGAGCAGGAAGCGCCGGGCGGCCGGCAGCAGGCCTGCGCGCCCACGCAGGCACCGCCGCCCAGGTTGCCGCCCAGCCTCTTTCCGCGGCGCAGGCCTGCGCGCCCACGCTGCCAGACCGCAAACAACAGACGGCCCCGCACGCGGCGGCAGCCCCGGCAGCGAGAGCCCTCGCGCCCCCTCCCTGCGCCACCAGCAGCCCCAGCAGCAACCCCGGCTGCCCCCTTCTCCCATGCGCCGCTCACCCGGGATGGTGTTGAACTGGTTGCGCACCTCCTCCACCATCGCCAGCGCCGCCTTGCCCACAGACTTCATGGTCATGGCTGAGAACCAGTAGGGCAGCATGGCGCCCACCAGCAGGCCGGAGAAGACCTGGGGGAGGCGGGGCGGGGGGGAGGGCGGGGAGGGCACACAGGAGGTAGGGGTAGGGTGAGCAGGTGCCAGGCTGGAAGGTGGCCGCCAGCGGGCAGAGCCATAGGCGCACACCGAGGTGCGCAGGCACGGCATGCGCCGGCTGTGGCCCTGCTGCTGCTGCTGCTGCGCCAGCGGTCCCTACTGCCGAGCGCCGGCCGGCCGCCTCCAGGAGCGGAAGGCAGCCCAGCAGCCAGGCAGCCAGGCAGCCAGCCAGCCCCGCCCCGCCCCGCCACACCTCTGGGTCCAGGATGGATGAGTCGAGCATGGAGATGCCGGCGCGGGTGACGTAGGCGCCAAACAGAGCCAGGGACACCAGGGCGGCTGCAGGGTGGGCGGCGCGGGCAGGGGAGGGGAGGGGAGGGGAGGTCAGGTCAGTCTACGGGCACCAGGCAGGGCGCGCGGCGCCGCGCGGGGCGCGGCGGCGCAGCGCAGGGGCGGCTGGCATGGCTGGCACGCAGCCAGGGGTGTTTCAAAACCACACAGGCGCACGCACGGCGCCCCGCGCGCGCCCGCCCTGCCTCCCCCGCCCATGCGCAAGACAACACACGCGCGCAGGAGGCGCACCCGAGCCGATGGCAAAGCCCTTGCCGATGGCGGCGGTGGTGTTGCCAGCGGCGTCCAGCGCGTCGGTGCGCTCGCGGATGTCCTCGCCCATGCCCGCCATCTCGGCGATGCCGCCGGCATTGTCGGAGATGGGGCCATAGGCGTCAATGGCCAGGCAGGTGGCGATGGTGGCCAGCATGCCCAGCGCGGCGCACGCGATGCCGTACATCTGCGGGAGAAACAAGGGAACGGGCGGGAGGAAAGCAGGAGGAGGTGGGAGGAATGCGGGCGGGCGTGAGGCAGGGAGACGGAGCGCCGTGCCGCGACGCCGCCGGCCTGTGCCCCCCGCGCCGCGGCAGCGCGTGGCGGCGGCAGCCCGGCTGGCCCCAGCCGGGCTTCGCTCATGGTGTGTTGACACGCGGAGTCGGCGCCGCCGCGCAGGCCTCGCTGCCTTGCTGCTACCATGGTCTCCCCAGCCCCCGCCTCACGTGCGCCAGGGAGAAGCCGGTGAAGATGGCGACTGCGATGATGATGCAGGGGATGATGGCAGACTTGTAGCCCAAAGCCAGGCCAAAGATGATGTCGGTGGCGGCGCCGGTGCGGCACGCGTCGGCCACATCCTGCGGGGTGCGGCGGGGAGGCGGGGCGGGGCGGGGAGGGGCTGGTGAGGCGGCGGGAGCTGGGAGGGAGGCAGGGAGAGGAGGATGGGGCTGGGGCGCATGGGAAGACGCGGGTCAGGATGGCCGGCCCCGGCCAGGCGAGGCGGCACGCTGGGTGTGACCTCGCCCCAACACCCACCCACGCCGCAGGCGCCGGCGCCCCACCACCCCACCCACGCCACGCAGCCCAGGTCCACCCACGCCAACACACCCCCGCCCCGCCGCCCACCTGCACGGGCGTGAAGCGGTTGGATGTGTAGTACTCGGTGACCAGGCCGATGATGAGGCCGCCCCACAGGCCCGCCGCCACGCAGAAGAACATGTGCCTGCGGGGGTGGTGGTGGTGTGGGGGCGGGCTCAGAGGCGGGCGCAGAGGCGGGCGCAGGACAGGCGGGGACCCGGTGAAGCCAAGGGATCCGGTGAGCCAAGAGGAGGGCGGGGCTTGGGGTGCGGGGCTGGGCGAGCGGCACCGCATGCCAGGAGGAGCAGGCCGGGGCTCCCTGACGCGCAGCCCGCAGGCGCGTTGCGGCGGCGGCGGCGGCGGCAGGCCCCGGCCCGGCCGGCGCGCCTGCCGGCGGGGAGCGCCTCGCCCTCACCAGTTCTTGACCACGCGGTCCGGCTCCTCAGAGAAGATGCCGGTGAACTCGGCGGGCAGGGCGCAGACGGAGATGACGTAGACGACCTGGGGAGGAGGGAGGGTGGGAGGGGAGGAGGGAGGGTGAGGTGCGTTGAACGGGTGTGGGGTGGCAGTGTGGATAAGGCTCGGGTGCTGCGGAGGCCCCCGCCTCGCTGCCTGCCCGCCTCCTGCCGCGCGCCCAGGCCCTCACCGGGGTCATGACCAGGGTGGACACGATGAGCTGCATCTTGAGGGTGGACTCGATCTCGGAGACGACGCGCGCAGGCTTGAGGTCGGTGGCAATCAGGGTGGTCAGAACGCACACCACGATGCCGGAGCCGGTGATGAGCAGCGGGTAGCACATGCCCACCCACGAGTGGCTGGCGCCCAGGGAGGAGACTGAGGGGAGGGGGAGGGCGGGGGAAGGGAGGGGTGAGGGGTGCAGGGTGAGCGCGGGGCGAGGGGAGGCGACAGCAAAGCGGCCTGGCGGGGTCGGCGCCGGGGCGACGCCGGGGAGCGCGGCGCGGGATGCAGGCCGTGCCGCGCGCTGCGTCGCGCCCTGCTGCATGCGCCGCGCGGCGGAGCGGCGAGGGGCGGCAGGGGACGCACCTGAGGAGACGACCAGGGCGGCGCAGGTGGACTCGGCAAAGGAGCCAAACAGGTCGGCGCCCATGCCGGCAATGTCGCCCACGTTGTCGCCCACGTTGTCTGCAGGGGAGGGGCGGGGGCGGGGGCGGGGGCGGGGGCAGGCCTGGTGAGAGGCAGGGCGAGTGGTAGGCCACAGGAGAGGCAGCAAGGGCCTCTGCCTGCAGCGGGCTTGCCGGGCCCAGAGGCGAGCACAAGCACACGTCCGCCTACACACACTCACTCTCTCTCTCCCTCTCCCCACACACACCCGTCCTCTCTCTTTCTCTCCACACACACACACACACACACACTCCCTGTACACACACACTCTCTCCACACACAACCAAGCACCCCCGCACGTTGCACACGCCAGGCATAGGCTGCCCGCCAGGCCCACAGCCCGCCCCCCCTCACCCGCGATGACGGCCGGGTTGCGCGGGTCGTCCTCTGGGATGTCCTTCTCCACCTTGCCCACCAGGTCGGCGCCCACGTCGGCGGCCTTGGTGTAGATGCCGCCGCCCACGCGGCCAAAGAGGGCAATGGAGGAGCCGCCCAGACCGTAGCCGGTGATGGCCTGGGGGGGAGGCGGCGGGGAGGAGGGTGGGTGAGGTGGTAAAGGAGCGGGTTGGGGACGGGCTGGGAGCTGGGGACGCGTGCTGCGGCAGGCGGCGTGAGGAGGTGCGGCCCGACGCTGCGACAGGCGCCCGCTCCGGCCAGATGGAGGCACAGCTGCCGCGGCGCGCGTGCCCCGTCCGGCTGCCAGTAAGGCACCAGCGCCCGCCGCGCCGCCGCCAGCACCAGCGCCGCACCTCGTACAGGCCCTCCCAGTCGTCGCCAAACACCTTCTTCAGCACCAGCAGCAGCACGAAGAGCACCAGCAGGGCGTTGCCGGCCAGCAGGAAGCCCATGACGGCGCCGGAGCGGAAGGCTGCGCGCAGGCAGGCAGGCAGGGCAGGCAGGCAGGGATGAGGCAGGGACAGGTGGTGGGGAAGCCTCCAGCCACAAAGACCTCGGCGGACCCTTATCGGAGCCCGCCGCACCAAGGCAGGGGCCGAAGGGCCAGGGCGGCCCGAGTTCTCACCGGCCATGAAGGCGGGGGCGATGCCCTTGCGCGCCTCCAGCGCGGTGCGGGCGTTGGCGTAGGTGGCGATGGCCATGCCCAGGTAGCCAGACAGGATGGAGGTGACGGCACCCACGATGAAGGTCAGGGTGGAGAAGGCGCCTGGGGGCGGGCGGGGCGGGGAGCGGGGCAGCGGGGAGAGCAGCGGCGGGCAGGGTGAGGAGCGCAGGGTGTGCGGGGGGTTGAGTCATCCCCGCACGCCGACGGCCGGGGCTGGGCGCCGGGGCCGGCCGCCGGCGAGGGCGTGGTGCGGGGGCTGGGGACGGCGCGTGCAGCGGCCGCCTGGGTGCCGTGCTGCGCGGCATGGAGGCTGTGCTGGGCCCCCACACCTCCGCTGCAACGCGGGTGCTGGGCGCTCACCGTTGTAGATGGCGGGGGCGCGCAGCACGCCCTTGTCGTCTTCCTTCCACTCAGTGGAGAAGCCGTCCTGGGAGCTCAGCAGCACGAAGATGAGCACCGAGAAGGCACCCTGCACGCAGGCGATGGGATGGGCAGGCAGGCAGCACGGGGTGGGCCTCGAGCTGTGGCGGCGGCGGGTGGACGGCGGGTGGACGGCGGCCCGCGGCTGTGGCTGGAACCCATCGCCTGCATCGCCCAGGCCCGCCTTGCCGCCTCACCATGAAGCCGCTGACATACTTGTACTCGGTGTAGAGGAAGCTGTTTGCTCCCTCGCTGATGGCGGCTTGCAGGTCGGCAGCCTTCTCCTCGATCTGCGGGTGGAGGGTTGGCATCGGCTCAATCATCCCGCTGCACGGCTGCTGGCAGCGACAGCCACAGCCGTAGCGGCAGCCAGCGGCATGCACTCCGCCTCATCACGTGCCGCGCCCCACCTCCGACTCTCCACGCTGCTCCTCCTCCAGCAGATACTCCCGGCCATTCTCGGACCGCACGCCAGCGTTGCCGCGGACCTTGATCTGCACAGCCGCCGGCATCATGGCAGCAGTGAGCAGGGCGTCATCGCGCTGTGCGGCCTCCCCCGAGCCATAAAGCCCACCCCCTCACCTGGGCAACCCGCCGCCACAGGAAGATGGCAAAGAGGATGCCGATGACGGCCGAGATGGGGATGGCCGCTGAAACGAAGGCCGCCGAGAAGACGGTGTCGGCCATGATTGCGAGTCTCCCACCAGCTCCAGTCAAAGAAACAGGCCGAGCAGGCTGGGTTATGCGCCCTATAGGATGCTGCGAGATGGGTGAGTTGGCGTGCCACCGCAGATATGGAGCCCCCTCACCCGCATTCCAGCATCCTGCGATCGCCTGGCTGTTGCTGCCCACGGGCGTCTCTGTAGAAGCCTGGAGAGCTGGGGTTGGGCAGGCTTGCCGGTGCTGGTTTCAATTGGCGAATTGACCCAGCCCCTCGAGTGCCACAGTGAGCAGGAGGGCACGCAGTTACAAAACCGGATCGATCAGCGCTGGAGCTGGCCCGCTGGCTGACGAGCACCCTGTCGCCGCCACCGCCCGCCGCCGCCAACTGCCGGCAGGCGTGTAAGCAAAGTGACTCCACCGTTTAGGCAAGGTCAATCGTCGCCAGGCCCTCCAGCCGGCACCTCACGTAGCACAGCTCGTCGCCGTCGGCCTGCAGCCACGCAGCCTGCCATTCCGTGGGCACAAACATGGCGCCGCCCGCTGCAGTGGTGCCGCCACCGCTTGGCCTGGCATCTATCCTGCAACGCTCAGGCCAGCGTGGACGAGCGGTATGCAGTGGGTGCTGACCCGGCAACACCTGTGCTCGCGCCAGCTAGCAGCCGTGCAGCAAGCCAGCTGGGCTTGCCAGCCCTGATCCGGTGCCACTCACGCCAGCAAGCGGTGGGCACCGTAGCGCACCACCCAAGGGAGGCGCTCCATGCCGCCACCCGGCAGCGCCCTGATGTAGTCGTCGGAGCGGAAGCTGCAGAGGGCGCGTGTAGGGGACAGCGGCCTCTTCTGATAGCTGTACCTTTGGTGGATACAAGGCCATCTGCCTCCAAGGCGTGTGGCAGCAGGCCCACGTACTCTCCACCCATGCTTGCCATGGCAGATTGCCACCAGCTGGCCAGTACCTGTTCACCAGGCCGTCATCGCCAAAGGCAAAGGTGCCACTGACTGTGATGCCCTGGTGCGTCAGCACGGCACGCGCCTCTGCAGCAGGGCAGCAGGGAGCAGCCGGGGGCTGCGGAGCTGGGTTACCGCATGCTTTGGTGCTTCCACACCATCAACACAACCTGTGCCGTGTTCCCTAACAGCACCCGCCAGCGGCAGGCAGCTGCACCAGTGGCTTCGCAGCACCAGCCGCCAGCGCTGCCAGCCCACCGCTGTCGGAGCCCGGCACCGCCTCCCACCGCAGCATGGCGCTGGGCAGCATGGCTCTCGGGGTCGCCGGCGTCTCTGCAGTTGTGCACGCAGCTGGGGGCTGTTGGCTTGCAGCGTGAGCTTGTTGGGCAGCACATGTAGCCATGCAGCAGGCGTGCACACTGTGCCGCGGGCTGGCCTGGCCTTCCCCTGGCCGCACCTGCCAGCCAGCGCACCAGCATCGCCCGGTCCAGCGCTGGGCCGCTCGCTGCGAGGCCGGGCAGCCAGCCCCAGAGGCGCCAGGCCATGCCGCCCTTGCCGCCCACGAGGCTGTCGCAGCCTGCGTGCGGGGTGGCGGTCAATTGGTGCCTGTGCCGGCCTTACCCAGGAGGGAGAGCCAGGGGCACCCCAGCGCCCCACGTGCCTGTCAGCCACATCAGCGGCTTGAATGTGCAGCGCACCGTCCAGCAGAAGGTCGGAACGAGCGGGCTGGTGCTCTGCAGGCAGCGGGGGCGGCACGGCTTCGGGGGCGCGCGCCCGGCGACGCAGCGGAATGCGACGCCAGCGGCGGTGGACAGCAGTGCCAGGACTGGCCTGAGTGGCGGTCATGCCCTGCCAGGGGCCAGTCGGCTCCAGCCGGAACTCCCCAACCTGGCGCCCCTTGACCACCCTGCGCCATGCACAGGGCAAGTGGGCAGCAAGGCTGGGTGCACTGCCGCCGCCCGCATGGGGCTGCTTCCCAGCGCAGTGGGGATTCCACAACAGGAGTGCATGCCCCATGCTCGTACGTGTACTGTTGAGCTCCGAATGCTGCGCGCTCCAAGTAGCGGCGGAGGCTGCGCGGCAGGTTTAGCAGCGGCTGCGGTAGGGCATCGCCGCAAGAGCTGGCTGCCACCGCGGCCACCGCCTCTGCCCTGACGGCGAGCTCCGCCTCCGCCTCCTTCGCGCCAGTCAAGCGGATAAGAAATTGACACGCTGCCCCAACAATCAGCGCCAGAGGCGCGAGCAGCCAGGTCCCCATGTCCCTCGAATGTTGTCTGACCACCTTCAACGTTGCGCTTGAATGTCGGAGAATGCTATGAATTGCACCTTTGCATGTGATTGAACGAGTGGAGCATGGCATAGTCGCTGCCGAGACTTGAAGGGTGGTGGGCTGGCGCCACGTCAGACCGTGCGCTGCGCAGCGGCGCCCGCCCTTCCTTGCGCTCTTCTTTCCCCTGGATTCCTTTTGTGTTGTCCCCTACCACCCCCCATGATCTTCCCCCCAGCTGACGGACCGTCTCCAGGCCCTCGCGCCCCTACCGCCACCAACACGACTACCGACGAGTTACACCTTGTGATGTCAACACCTGTGCATCAGGCCGGACAGGGAACAGAGCAGCAAGGCCAGCAGAGGGCTAGAGAGAAGAGAGCTAGGGAGAAGGTAAAAGTTGCGTTATTTTCCTGCGCAGCAGCTTTCAGCCGCGCACAACAGCGGCGTTCCAGCGGCGGCAGTGTGAGAGCGCGCCTCCTCAGGGGCACGCCTGCTGGTTAGTCTTGCTGGACCTGCAACAAGAATAATGGCAGGGTGAGATGATGAGCGTGGGGGTGGCTGTGGAGGGCAGCTGCACCTGCCCGCCTGCCTGGCTGCCTCTACGCAGGCCACGGGCGGGTAGGGCAGCATGCCGCCCGCAGGCAGTGAGGCTCGCTTGCACTGGCACTGCCCAGGCAGCATCAGCCAGGGCAGACAGCAAGAGAGGGCTCAAGCCCCGGCTGGTCGTCCCCTAACGCTAGCAGGTCTGCTGCCGGCACTGCCAGGAATGGGGCAGGGGCAGGGGCTGACAGACGCGCGACGACGGCTTGCTGGCAGGGCTGCTGCCTCACAGGGAGCTCTCCAGCAGGGTGAGCTTGCACTTGGAGAAGTCCTGAGGGCACTCATCGGGGGAGCTGTTCCTGCAACAGCGGTTTGGCTAGCCAAAGTGCATTAAGGGATGTGAATGCGGGCCTGTGGAAGCGTGACAAGGGGCACCTTGGAAGCATTGTGCAAAGCACCTGCTGGAGGCAGCCTTGCACAGCACAGAGCGGGTGGTGTGCCCGCTGCCAGGCTGCCAGCGCAGCACAGTAGCACTAAGCACAGCACAGCATGCGAAGCACAGCCCGCTTCCCCCAGGGGCTGACACCGACTGCCAGGTCGGCTGTCCCCACCCAGCACAGCACAGCACAGCATAGCATGGCATGACACAGCACAGCACGGCATGCACGGCACAGCACAGCACAGCGCAGCGCAGGGCATGCTCAGCTGCTGCCTCTTACCAGGTCTGCGCACCCGTCGCCAGGTCCACCGTCCCCACCTCGCACAGCGTCTCGGTTTCCTCTCGCCCATCTGGATAGGTGTAGCGCGATTGCAGGATTGTGCGGTAGGCACCTGCAAGTGCAAGCCCGGTCAGTGGCAGGGGTGCGGGCTGAGGCGGGGAGCGAGGAGTCTTGCTGGCTCAGCAGAGCCACGCTGCAATGCTGCTCAGCGGCGATGCTGAGCCCTCGCCTTTGCCCTTGTTCTCGGAGGGTGAGACACACTCCCACGATAGGTACTTGGCTGCAGTTGGCGGGGTGGCAGGGGAGCAAATGGGCGCATGCCAACGTGCTGCTTGCCGCCCGGTGTGAGCTGCCATTCGGGTCTGAGCTGCCAGAGGGCCATGCCCAGCTGCGGTCCCAGCTGCCGTGCATCCGCGCAGCCTTGCCGGTTATGTACCGGGCTGCCACTGCAATGGTTGACATACCAAACTCGGCAACCAGTTGGTTGGGATCATCCTCCGAGGGATAGGTGAACACGTAGGAGTCGGGGAGCTGGATGCCAGTCTGCAGGTTTCAATGAGGGGCAAGGGAAGCTGGCAGGTGTTAGCGCTGGCTACCATGGCGTCAGGACAGTGTCCAACGTTGACCCTGTCCAAGGCGGCCCTTGGACCGCCCTTGGACGAGTGCCAGCACTCACTATCGGTCCTGTCGGCTGTGGCGTGTTGGACCACCAGACTCCCACGGCGTCAGGGGGACCGCCTTGGTTGGCAAACCTCGTGCCAGAGACGCCCTGGGCGGCGGCGGCGGCCACCAGGCCCAGCAGCAGTGCGCACAGGAGCAGGGAGCGCATGTTGTTGTTGGCAAGACTAACAACAAAAACACGGGGAAACAAAGCAGCAAGCAGTATGAAGGTTCGGCAGTACCAGCAAGCACAGCGGGCGTGTCATGTACCGCATGTGCAGCTTGCAGAGCTCTGGGTGATAACTCGCGACGTCAGACTCGGCCGACTCGGCTCTTAGATGGTTACAGCTCTGTACTCAAATCTATAACTCCAAACGTTTGATACTGCTATTTCAAGTGTAAAAAGTCAATACACACAAATCAGGCCCACAGGTCGATGTAGCCGCTCTGCAGGGCGTAGATGAGTATCACTGTGACAACGTACAGGACGAGGAGCACAAACATGGAGCACTTGTCAATGGCATAAGCCTTCCACGCATCATACGCTACATCCAGAGGTGTCGGACGTGATGGCGCGGCGCCGGCTTTGCCCCAGCAGCGCCAGTTGCGGCGGCGCTGCTGCTGGTTCGCCGCCGCCGGGACGGCGCCGGCGTGTGCATACGCCGTGCCGCCGGCCGCTGCTAGTGCGACCTCTGCTGCTGCCGGTGGACTCGCGTAGGAGCCGTTGGTGGTCGGCGCGCCGAGCTCATGCTGCTGCACTGGCAGGCCCTGCTTCTCCGCTGCTGCCATGCCGGCGGCGGCCCTCTTGGCCGCCTTGTGTTGCTCCCGCGCCTCCCACAGCGCCTGCCGCTTGTGCGCCCGCTCCTCCCGAGTCTCAATCCGGTACACCTGCAGGCCGGCAGCAGAGTGGGCAAGGATGCCTTGTTAGCAGGCGTGCGCACCCGGCAGCGGAACAGCCTGCATCCCGACTTAGGATACCCACCCCTCAACCCTTCCATCAGCCACAGACAACACGCAGCAGCAGCAGCAGCAGCAGCAGTTTGTGCCGCCTGGGGCAGCGCACCCACCACAATCGACTCCACAGCAATGAGCGTCAGCAGGACGTAGGTGGCGATGGCGGCCTGCTGCGTGGGCAGCACATAGCTGGAGGCGGGCTGCAAGCATGAGCGGGTCGGCAATGAAGGGGCAGGTGGTAAGGTGCCGCTTGCATGGAGACAGTGTGGGTGAGCCGGAGACAGTTGGGTGAGCTGGAGGGAGCTGGGTGGGCAAGCACTCCGGCATGGCAGACGATCTGAGCCAGCAACGGATGAGGCGGGCCCAACCTAGTTTTCGGTCATCACAAACTGGACGGCCGCCATGGCCAGGAACAGCGTCACCACGATGCCCAGCCGGCTGCTCAGGTCTGCCCGCTCAAGGTAGAAGACAACAAAGGACAGCAGGCCCAGCAGCAGCACCTGCACCACATGGGCAGCAAAGGAGGGCGGGCGGATGAGCCACCGCCAGGCAGGCAGCAGCGGCGGGCTGCCGCACATGCGCCCAGGCGTGGCCGCCCGCGCCAGCCAGCCACGCCCCACACGGCCCGGCTCCCGAGCCTCCCGGCATCCTCGCAGCGCCAGAGCCCCGAGCGGCCCTCACCGGCAGCACTGTGTTGAGCACGTGGTAGCTGTAGAAGCGCTCGATGCGTATCTTGACGCTGATGGTGGTGCTGTTGCGCGCGGCCGCCAGGGTGGTGGCGCCGGGGCGGCAGCCACGCAGCAGGGCCGCGTCGGTGTTGGTCAGGCCCAGCGGGTCGTCGGGGTTGGAAGGAATATATGAGAAGGCCTGCGTGTGGAAGCGCGTGTGGAAGGGCAGGCAGGCGGGTGGGCAGGTGGGATGGATGTGTGTCGGGGGCGGTACACGCAACGCCGCCGCATGGCTTCAGCAGCGCGCCGCCATGCGGGCCGCTCGCACAGCGCTGCGAGCAGCGGCACGGCAGCAGCAGCGGCGGCTGCAGCCTGCACGAGGCGGGGCGCCGGCCACGCGCCTGCACAAACTTCTGAGGGTTGGGCAGCAGCCTGCTGGTCACAGTCAGGCTGATGCCGTTGATGCCCCACTGCGACACCGGGTCACCTTTGCCAGTCCTGCATGGGCAGGCAGGGAGGGAGGGGGAGAGGTGGAGCAGCCCGTGCAGGGCTGCACCGGGGCGCCAGCCAGGGCGCGAGGCGAGCAGGCGCAGCGGCGCAGCCGGCCCCGGCCGCCCGCCCAGGCCCAGCACGTCCAATTGTCGGCACCGCGGCCAAAAGCCCAGCCCACCATGACCGCAGCTGCCAGAACAGCCCCGCGCGGCCGCAAGCCCAGGGCAGTGCCGGCCCGCCTGGGGCGCTGCCAGGCTCACGTGAAGAGCGAGGTGCCGCCGCTGCTGGTGTGCACCACCACGCCGGGGTGGTCTGGGGTGCTGGTGTCCATGAATTCAACAGTCATCAGCAGGTCCCAGGAGTCAAAGGGAAAGTGGCTGAGGTCCATTGGCTGCAGGCGGCACACAACAAGAAGGCTGCCGCTTGTCCGGCAGCGCGCTGGCCAGCTGGGCGTGTCTTGAACGCCAGGGCCGGCGCGCCGGCGCGAATCGCGATCGGCCAGGGCCAGGGCCCAGGGCCAGGGCAGGGCAGGGCAGCCCGGGGCGGGCGGCGTGCCTGGTAGAAGATGCCCTGGACGAAGACGTTCCAGGCGATGCTGTTGTTGGGGGCGGGCAGCAGCGCAATCTTGTCGCCCGAGGCACGGTCCTGCGGGAAGCCGTACACATTCCTGCGGGACCGCGGCGCGGGCCCAGCCGCAGCAGGAAGGGTGTGGGCGCGGCGGCCGGCGCTCTCTCGGCGGGCGTGCCTCTGCCACGTGCCCCGCACACACGTGGCATGCACGCAGCACCAGCCGAAGGGTCGGGGCAGTCTGCAGGGTCTCGCACCCCGAGCCGCCAGCGCAGCTGCCGCCATGCCACACCTGGGCCGCACCTGAAGAAGAAGCTGGGGATGTAAATGTCGTCGCAGCACGCCACCGCCCCCGCCCAGTCTGTGCACTGTCGGTCGCAGCTGCGGTTGCCCGCCAGCCAGGCCGCGGTGGTCTCCACCACCGTGGTAAACGCCCCTGGGTCCGTCCTGCGCCACGGGCCGCCGTACGGAACGACGTCATCAGAACAGGCAGGCAGGCAGGCGGCTGTGCCTGCCGTGGTGCAAGCAGCCAGCTGGTTCGGGAACCACCAGCCCGACTGCGGCGCAGGGGGTACCGGAGGCAGCAGCCAGCGAGCTGAAAGCCTCTGATGCCGACCAGCCTGGCCTGCCCCCCAGCTGTGCCCACCCACGCACCATGTGATGTAAAAGTAGCTGATCATTTCGGTGCGGTAGTTGCGCTCGTCCACCTCCAGCAACCGGTCCAGGTAGACGCTGCGGGCAGAGCATGTGCGGAGCAGGGGGTGGTGAGCACAGGCATCGGGATGCCTGGCGGGCTCTGGGGGGGGTGCTGGTTGGCATTGTTGATGAACCCAAGTAGGCAGAGGGTCCCCTGGTGGTGCCCCCTCACCTGACGTAGACATCGGTGGTGGCGAGGTCGGGCGAGCCCTGCCCCCTGAGCGGCGACAGCATCTGGCCTGCCGCTGGCGGCGCCAGGGCGGCGAGGCACACCGCGACCGCGACCCCCAGGCGGGAGGGCACCGCCGCCAGGCCTCCTCCTTTGCCTCGGCGCCGCTTGTACATGCTCGTCATGCCCTCAACCGGCCGCGGTTTGCGAGCCGGAGCAAGCCCGGAGCAGGCGAGCCTTTGCCGGGGCGAGCGTCGGCTGTTCAGAGACGTCTTGGTGAGTGCATTGCGACCCTGTCAGACTGCGGTGGTCAGGGGGAAGGGTGCTCCTGTTGCCCTGTGGCCGCCACTTGGCGCCAGCTCGGCCGTGTTTGGTCGACGGCCACAACAGGGAGGTGCAGGCAAAACCATGCTAGGTGCAGGATGCCTACTTGGAAACATAGACACATAAATTGAAGTTGGGCAGAAGAAGAAGAAGAGTGACGTGACACACACGGGTAAAATTAAATGGGGGCTGCGCCGACAGGCTGGCAGCGCACCACGTGGGACCAATTTTAAGAAGAACAAGGTAGAGAATATAGCACACTTGGGTTGGAAGTGCGGCAAAGCAGCATACCCCCAAATCAAGCAGGGAATGATCGCATGTCACTCAAGCTACTGCATGACCTGATGATGCGCCCAGGCCTTGCACAGCAGCCACAGGAAGCCCGAGAGGAGGGTCAGGATGATGCCGCGCTCCACATGGGGCGCCGGGTAGCCGTGGCCAGCGCAGAAGTCGGTGAGCGCCTCATCTGCCCAATCCCATGCCGCGCCCGCGCCTTCCACGGCTCCCTGGCCCCAGCTGCGCCGCCACGCTGCCTGGCCGCGTCGCTGCCATCGAGCCGCGTCCCACTCCTGCCCCTCCTCCGGCGCCTCGGGCTGCCGCCGCCGCTGTCGATGCGTGGTGTAGCTCCAGGGCCACTTGAAGGCCGAGCCGACAATGAGGGTAGGAACGGCAACACCCAGGATGCATTGCTGCATGCTGAGGACCGCCACGCAACGCAGCTCGTGCTGCCGAGCCTCTGAGTCTGCAGGGCAGGGGGTTCGAGGCGTCCCCGCTGACCCTACCAGGCAGCAGCTAGGCGCAGGCAGGTTGAGCTATGGCGCCACTGGCCCCGACCAGCCCCGTCAGCCCACCCATTACACCCCCACCCACCCACCGGTCAGCCAGGGGCCCAGGGAGGGCACCATGGTGGGCACCAGCTCCACCGCATGCCAAACGCGCTCCAGCCGCTCCCGGGACAGCGGGTCTGCCAGCAGGGGCGTGGCGCAGAAGCCGGCGCCGTTGGCGGTCAGCGCCGTCAGCGCCGCCTGCTGCAGCAGCACCGCCAGCGGCGGCTGGTCCATGAGCACGCCCATGAGGGCGATGGGGAGCAGGCGCGTGCCTGCATGCGCGGGCGGGGGGCGGGGGGGGGGGGCATGGCGGCGGGGTGGTCCAATCCTGACAAGGCACCGGTGGCAGCACTGATCAAATGGGTGTTCAAGCGCAGCCAAGCGCCTCGCTCACCCAGATTGAGGCGGAACCAGTCCAGCACCCAGCCCCGCCAGCCCGGCGAGGCAGGCTGGTACAGCAGAAGCAGGGCTGTTCCGTCCTGCATGGCAGGGAGGGGGCAGCATGCTGGATGGGGTGGGGCTCAGCGGGGCTCAGCGCCAGGCACACCTCGTGCCACACAGAGGCATGGCTGCCTCTGTCGCCCAGAACTCACCTTGGCCGAGCGCCAGGACGGCACCAGAGCAAACATCACGCGCGCAAACCCAATCAGCTTAACCCTGCACCGCATCACAGCGCAGCACAGTGTTGAGCGACCGCATGGCAGCGGTGTGGGGCTTGGGGCGCTACAACCAATGCAATGCAATAGGGGCCCGCGCCATCATGCACGGCAGTGCGCGCGCCTGTGTTGGGCCCATGTGGTGTGGGGCAGCAGCAGCGCCAGCAGCAGGTATGCCACCACGAGCGAGACGAGCGCGAGCTGGTTGGCATGCTGTGCGGGAGCGGCGGTGTTGGTGGCGGCCACTCGCTGCCAGACGACCAGCTGCCCCAACAGCAGCGTGATGGCTCCAAGTTGGTCGGTAACCCTCAGCAGCAGGCGAGACATGACAGGGGCGGCCGGCGTTAGCTCTCCTGCCCTTCGCCCTTGCCATACCGCCCTACTCGCTGAACCATCTGTCAGACTTCTCAGGGATAAGCGAGACACGTTGGTTCCCGCTTACGTATCGAGGGGCCACCTCAGCCCACCCTCGAGGGAGAGGGCCCTCTCCCTTCCGTCCGCCTTGCATCTCCAACACTTGCGAAGGTCCTGCCGTACCCGTTTGGACGATCAATTCATGCATGAGCAGGCCTGCAGGTCTGGGCGGAATGGGGATTCCGATCCGGACCCCGCCGCCGCATCTGCGGCACCAGTGCGTGACACCTGACAGCAGTCCTACAGGAACCAAGGCAGCAGCAGACTGACCTGCGCCTCTAAATTGATTTTTATTTCATGAGGCTGGCTGAGGGGCGCTCGGTGTGCGTCGAGATCCCGCCGCCATCGCCGCCGGTGCCTGCTCCGCTCCGCTCCCGCACTGCACAAGCGGCAGAAGCCGTTGCAAGTCCGCCTGCCTACGCCAGGGTGCTGGAGGGCCTGATGCTCATCAGCAACATGCTTGCATTCTGATACCTGCCAGAAGCATGTTGATCACAACATGAACTTGCCAGGGCACGCCTCAGAGATGCTGGCCGCTGTAGAAAGCGCGAAGCGCTGACTGTGCCCGACGCCCCAGGCCCCCACCCAAGCACACCAACAGCAAGCAGAGCCTCCCATCCTTGTCCAAGGCCGCTGCCAGCGGCATGGAGGGCAGCCCTCGACGCCTTCCCTCCGTGGAGCCGCCAGAGAGCTTCCAAGGCACGAGGCTGCCATCCAGGACAGCCTCCGAGGAGGAGATGGCCAGCACCCTGGCCAGGGGCTTGGCGCGGCGGCAGCGGCAGCCAGCCGGCAGCGGCGGCCAGCCCTCAGCTTCAGGCCCCGGCGCCGGCCCACCCGTGCATCTCGTCTTCCACCGCGAGGTCACCCTGGATGTGCCGGCCAGCCAGGCAAGCCATGCAGCAATGGGCGGTTCCGAGGCTGCCGTTGCCGCCGCCGCCGAGGGTCGGCCGCCGCCCTCTGTTGGAAGCTTGCACTGCGGCAGCTGTGCACCTTTCCAGCTTCACCTTGGCACGCTGTCTGCCTCAGTTTCACATCCGGACGCTGCTATTGCCTCCTGCAGGTGGAAGAGGCCGTCCACGCAATCGTGCACATGCAGCCGCTGCCCGCCTCCCCACGCTCAGCCCCTCCAACCGCGCCCGCCGACCAGCAGGCTGCCCCGCCGGCCAGCCCTCAGTGGCAGGTGGTGAGGGAGGTGGGCTGGCAGCAGGACAGCGAGGCGGCTGGCAGTCCCGGCAGCAGCTTCTTCTCAGCAGCCTCGGCAGCCTACTCGGCCGGCAGCGGCAGCGGCAGCACCAGCAACGGCACCAGCTCACCTGTCCCCACTGGCCCCCAGGCCGAGCCCCTCACCAGGGAGCAGCTGCACCCGGCGGTACCACCTCCACCACGCCCGGGAGCCGCCGCTGAAGCCCCAGCCCCTGCAGCGTTGCCCGCAGCTGGCAGTGCGGGCGTGGCGGCACCTACGCCCCAGGACAGGCAGCAGGAGCAGGAGGCCGGGCTGCCTTCCGGCGCCAGCCAGACCACCTCACAGACGGAAGGGCCCCGCGCCCCGCCCCCCACACCCACCGACACAGGCAGCCCTCCCAGCAGCTTGCCGCCAGGGGTGGCTGTGGGCGGTTCCCCGGCCAGCCCAGCCACGCCCGTAGTTGGCACACAGACCCGCTCCTGGCAGCCTCGGGAGCGTCCATATGCGCCATCGTCCGACAGCGATGGCAGCCCAAGTAAGCAGGCGTCGACCACAGCGGGGCAGCCGCCAGTTGCAGGGATGAGCGCGACGGGCAGCTGGCCGGCAGCTGTGCCACCCTGGCGCCAGCAGGCGACATCCCCAGACGCGCAGCAGCCGCGGCAGCTGGCAGGTAGGGCCGTGACGCCTCCACGGCGCAGCCGGCTGGCCGTCGGGGCGTCGGCCTCCTCTCAGCCCGCGCCAGAAGGCGCGGCATCCCCGGCACAGCCACCAGCCTCCTCCCCGCTGCCTCACACCCCCTCTGCCAGCTCTGCCAACGAGCCCCAGCTGACGGTGATCCACGGCCCGTGGCCGCCGCCGCCGTCGCCGCCGCGCCAGATAGCCTCGCCGCGGGGCCGCCCGCAGCACACCCGCAGTGGCAGCAACCTGGCCTCGGCGTTCTCCGACGGCCAGCAGGCGGGGCCCAGCTGGCGCCAGCTGGACGACGGCAGCTGGGCCAGCTCAGCAGAGGTGGAATGGTACGAGGCAGAAAGCCGGGCTGAGGCTGCAGCTGCAGCTGCCGCCGAGGAGGCCAGCGCCGCCCTGCTGGGCTGCCCGCTGGTGGAGGCGGCCTCGCAGTCGCCGCCGCTATCTCCAGTCACCACTCAGCTGCTGTCCATGCGGCACCCATCCACCGACCTGCGCCGAGGGCCCCAGCGTGCCGCCAGCCTCGGCCTGACCAAGCCGGAGCGGCAGCCCTCCCTCATGTCCCCAGAGCGCCAGCACTCCCCGCTCCGCCTGCCATCCGCACCCGCCATGCCGGAGCCAGAGCCAGAGATCCAGCCCGAGGCGGAGCCCTCGCCGCCCCTGCAGCAGGCAAACGGCAGCGGCAGCGACGCAGGCCGCGCCAGCCCCGGCGCCATGCGCCCCCAGCGCATGCAAGTGCTGAATGCCTCGCCAGACGTCACCCCGAGCGGCCCGACCGAGCCCGGCCTCTTCCCAGCCGCCGCGGCGTCTGGCGGCGGCAACGGCGGCGGCTTCAGCTCGCTTGGGGGGCTGCCGGTGGAGCTGCTGGAGAAGCGGGAGCGGCGCAAGCAGCCTGCTGACCTGAGCCCACGAGAGGTGGGGGCATGGAGGGTGGGTGGGGGCAGGGATCTGCTCTCCCTGGCTGCTGTTAACTCGCTCGCTACACCCATCTGACCAGTTGCCATCTGACCTGCCTCTCCCCCGCTTGCTCACGTCGCAGGCTTACTCGGGGGATGAGGCAGCCTGGCGGCGGGCCGACCTGCGCACGCCGCTGCTGGCCATGCCGCTGCCGACGGAAAGCGAGGCGGAGGAGGGCCTGCCCGCCTCCTTGGCTGGCCACGCCAACCTGTGGGCCAGCACCGCCCTGCTGGCCACTCCGCTGCTGGGCGTCGGTAAGGAGGATGGGCCTGCAGCACCGTGCAGCATGCGCCCTTTGCCACCGCCGCCAAGCCGCATGCGTCACTTGCATGGCACTGTCATGCCATGGCTCCGTACCTCTGCCCCTGCTGCAGGCCTTGTGGCAGCACCCCGCGTCTTTGCTCTGCTGGGACTGGTGGCGGGCAGCATCAGCCTGGCTGCCACGGCGCTCGCCTCCTTCCTCTCCCTCTCCATCCTGCTCCGCGCAAGCAGGCGCACGTCAGGTGCCGGTGCAGCGGTGCGGGCGTGCCTGGGCCTGCAAGCGTGTACCTGTAGCCTCCTGCTTGTATCATGGCGATGCCATGATGCACTTGACCGCTCAAGCCTGTGCCCATCCACACCATGGCGCTGCCGCAGGCTACCTGCACGGCAGCAGCTATGCCGCCGTGGCGTGGGCTGCGCTGGGGCCTGCTGGGGCTGTGGTCACCGACCTATCGCTGGCGCTCAACTGCTTCGGTGAGGGGCCTGGGACCAGTGAAAGCGTGCTGCCCAGCTGGTTGCCCTTCCCGGCCCCCCGGCTGATGCAGCTCGAACGCTTCAACTGCCAGGGGTGTCGCTGACACCACTACCGTCCCCTCCTGCAGGCCTGATGGCTGCCAGCCTGGTGGTGTTGGGAGACATCCTGGTTGGGAGCGGCTCAGGTGCCCGGCCGCACCGACGCATTCTCCTCCTGCCTCGTGCCGCCGCATGCAATGCACAGTAGAGCTGTGCCTGCCCCTCCCGCTGCAGAGGGGTTGCTGGGGGAGTGGAGCGGCGACCGCGCGACTGTGCTGGCTGTGGTCGTGCTAGTGGTGCTGGCGCCGCTGGCGTCCTGCAGGTGTGGGGCCTCTGCGCATCTCTGCATGGCCTCTCTGCTGGTCTGCCCCTGCTCTCCACAACGCAAGCTCCAGCGCCATTTGGGCTCGGATGGGTGCAGGGACCTGTCGGCCCTGGCGGGGAGCAGCGCCTTGGCCCTGGTAGCCAGCTGCATGGCGGCGGCGGCTGTCCTGGCGCTCACGGCACTGGCCGCCAGCCAGCACGCCCTGCACCACCCCCGCGCCTGGCCCGCCTGGCCCGAGCTGGGCGCCGGCGGGGCGGGCTGGTTCCGTAGGGCGGCAGAGGTGCTGGCGGTGGTGCCGGTGCTCCTGCTCGCAACGTTGTGTCACCCGTCGCTTCACGCCGTGGTAAGCTGCCTGCGCTCCCAAAAGAGGCAGCATCGCTTTCGCACACTGGTGTGTAGCTTTGACCCGCCCTGCTGCGTGCCTCGCTTGTATTGCAGATGCAGCAGGTGCGACCCAGCACGACTGCCCGCGCCCACAGAGCCAGCGGGCTGGCTCTGGCCTACGGCTCCGTCCTGCTGGCGCTGCTGGGGATCTGTGGTTACGCACTGTTTGGCAGCGGCGTGCAGGTGAGAGCTGGGAGGGTGCCACGAAGGGGGCCTCGGCTTGCGTGGCTGCAGCTCCTAGCTAGCACCTGCTGCTCAGAGGCAGCCCCGACTCATCTGCCATTCCCAGCCGTGCCGCTGCCCTGCTCCTCTCCAACAAGTGCCTCACCGAGGTACCTGCCCGGCTCTCCCGTGCACTGCCTGCCCCTCCCTGCAGCCCGATGTGGTGCTGGATCTCAGCCCCGAGGCGCTCGTCTCCCTGGCGGGGGACCCCTTGGGCCGCGCCGCCTACCTGCTGGTCCACCTGGCGCTGGCGGTGTGCCTGTCGGCCGGCTTCCCGGTGCTCATGGTCCCCTTCAGGCACGCATGCACCTGGGATGCACCTATCCTTTTCCCTGACACCCGGAGACGCGCATCTGATGGCCCATGGGCAGACCCACTCAGGTGTATGGGCACTGCTGCGCTGCAGGGATGCGCTGTGGCGCGTGCTGTTCTGGCAGCCGCTTGTGGGCAGCGCGGGGCTCTACCTCGTGACTCTGCTGGCAGCGGTGGCGGCGCTGTGGGCCAGCCTGGCCCTGCCGCCAGGCTCCCTGTGGACGCTGCTCAGGTGGGTGGGGCCTGGGGAGCGGCACCGCCTGGAAGCAGCATCTGCCGGGCGGCAAGTGCTGGCTGCATGGAGGGCAGCCTTTGTCCGTGGGAAGAAAGTTCCACTGAACTCCTTGTCTGCACACAACCCTGCTGCAGCCTGCTGGGTGGCAGCACGGGCGCGCTGCTGGCCCTGATCCTGCCTGGCCTGGTGGCCGTTCGCCAGGACGGCATGGCGCATACCTGTGGCGGTGCAATGCTGGTGGTGCTGGGAGCCGCCCTGGCCATCGCCGCCATCCTGCGCCTCGCTTTCTTCGCGGCCTGATGCTGCAACGGCTGCAGTGCATTCCAGATGGGCACCTGCCTTCTGCTGTCCACTCAGCACACCATTCTGCACACAAGCCCTCTGGACCAATCCAGCCATACACCCGACTGCCTGCTTAGGGACGCCCGACCGGGCGGCGGCGCCCACCAAGTGCCTGCCTGTGTGCTGTGCCTGGCTGCCTTGCAACACATGGGTGCATTTTCAGTAGAGTGTGTGACTCATGTATGATGGTTTCCCCTGCTACAACCTGCACACCTGGCGCGCCATGGCGCACGAGATTCCAGGACGGCGGGCACGGCGGGCCCGCCAGCTCAGCCTGGGCTCAAACACAACAGCCCAGGTACCACGTCCAGCCTGCTTGAGCAGACCACACCACACGACACAAGCAATGAATGGGCAGAAAAATGGCGTGCCGTTGGCCGCCCAGGAGGGATGGGCCAACCAGGAGGGTTGGGGCAGCGAGCTGGGCCGGATATCGCCCGAACCAGGCTTTACGCCACTTAATTTGGAACCTAGCAGCGCGCCCGTGCCCCGCAAGTGAGTGCGTCCGCCAGTGGTCGTTGCACCCTGCCCGGGCACTGCAGAAACGGGTCTGGCACGCTGCACCAGGGCTGCCGATGGCCGCAGAACGCGATGATAGCAGCCCGGGCACACGCGCTGTGTGGCGCCACTTGCCGCCCTTTGCTGGGTGCCGCCGCCAGCGACTGGTTGCCGCCTGCTGCTCCCCCCGTCTGCCCTGCCTGCAGCATGCAAGCCCCCGTCCACCCCTCCACCGCTAGCTCGCCGGTGCTGGGCCGCGCAACAAGCAGCAAGAAGTGCCTCCTGCTGGCTTGCTTTGCCGCGGTAGCCACCATCGCATTGGGAGTAGGCCTCGGCGTCGGCCTCTCCGGCAGCGACAGCAGCACCAGCACCAGCAGCGGCGGCGGCGGCAGCAGCGGCAACGGCGGCGGCAGCAGCGAGGCAACGACAGCCACGGTCTACGGCGCGACGCTGTCGTCGGAGTGCCAAGAGATGGCCACAAGTGCGCTGCCTGGCCTGCCAGGAGCACCGGGGCTGCCATGCCGGCTTCTGTGGCCGCTTCCCGTCGCGCCCGCCACGCTCCCGCCTGCTCACTCCTGTCTCCGCATGCCCCTTCAACTACTGCAGTCAACTACTGGGAAGTGGTGGACATCACAGAGTACGACCTGAGCCTGAAGCTGACGGAAGAGATGTTTCAGTACAACGCCAGCACCGGCGCCGCGCCCATGACGTTTGCGGGCAAGGCCACGTTGCTGTTCCGCGTGCAGCAGCAGGCAGCGGGCTGCGTGGTGCTCAACGCCCGCAACCTCACCTTCCGCAGCATCGCGCTGCAGGCGCAGCTGCCCGACGGCTCCCTCTCCCCGGCCGCACCCCTTTGCAACGCCACCGGCGGCGGCTGCGACGCGGGCGGCGCCGTCGTGTCGCCCACCTTCCAGCGCCGCGCCAGCAGCAGTGCCGAGATGCCGCTGTCCACCGGGGACACCGACCTCGTTGCCATCAGCCTGGGGGGCACGGTGGTTGAGCCCGGCACGGTGGCGGCGCTGGTTTTTGAGTACACGGGAGTGCTTGGGGCGTGGCCCACCGGCACGCTGGGCCTCTACCGCTCCGCGCCCTTCCCCACCGCTGACGGCGACGGGCTGGAAGTGATGGTGGTGACGCAGGGGGAGACGACGGGGGCGCGCCAGATGCTGCCGTGCTACGACCAGCCCGCGCGCAAGGCGGTGTTTGAGGTCACGCTGCAGGTGGGTGGTGGTGGGTGGTGGTGGGGGGGGTGGGGGGGTAAGTGGCTGGTTGGCCGTGCGAGCGTGTGGGTTGTGTTGGCTGTTGGGCCCCTTTCCTTGCAGGGCTGGCGTCAGTGGGCTGTGCACGCTGCGCCAGCGCGCGCCCGCTACATCCTCCCCAGTGCTGCTGCTGCTCTCCACCGCTGCCGCCCTTTGGCTGCCTCGTTGATGAGCCTGACGCCAACCCCACCCCGCTTCCGCCGCCGCCGCAGGTGCCCTCCAAGACGCCCGCCGGCACCGATATGGTGGCCCTGTCTAACATGCCCGCCAGAAACAAGCTGGGGGGCAGCAGCGACGCGATCCACATCTACGAGTTTGAGCCCACCCCGGTCATGTCCCCCTACCTGCTGGCCGTCGCCGCCGGCGACCTGGTGCAGTACAAGCAGGCCGGCGGCGGCAACGCCACCGGCGCCGCCGCCGGCCTGCCCGAGCTGCGCTTCTGGGCGGCGCCGGGGCTGGAGGGGCAGCTGGCGGAGGCAGCACAGGTGGTGCCGCTGGCGTTCCAGTTCTATTCGGCCTACTTCGAAAACGTCTCCCAACCCGCCGAGCTCACCAAGTACGATTTGGTGGCGGTGCCGGGGAGGCAGGGAGCCATGGAGGTGCGTGCTGGCTGGGGTTGGGGGGAAGAAAGGGCGGCGCTTGGGATGCGCTGCTGCGGGGGTGCATGCGGCGGGGGGTCGGCTGCTGGCGCTGCTGCCTGGTGTGCTTCTGCGGCGGCCGCTGGATGGGCTGCTGCGGGGCCGGGGGGCAAGCGCCGAGGGCTGAGCCATCCAGTGCCTGCCGCCGTGCAGAACTGGGGGCTGATGCTGTTTGACGAGAACCGGTTCCTGTATGACAAGGTGGGTGGGTGGGTGTACTGCCGATGTACCGCCATGTACTGCCTGTATTGCTGCTGCGCAGGGCCAACATCCAGCTGCTGGCAGGCTGCGTACGGGCTGGAGGGACACCGACAGCGGCGTTTGGGCATGGCAACCATGTGCCGAGGGCTGCTGCTGCCTGCCTGCCTGCCTGCCTGCCTTTCCCTGCAGGACTGGGAGGGCGCCTACGGCCGCAAGCTGCTTGTGCTGGTGGTCTGCCACGAGGTGGCGCACCAATGGTGAGCTGCTGCGACTGCCCAGCCGGGAGCCGGTGCAGCAGGCTGGCCTGCCGGCCCCGCTGCACGCGCACCCATGCCTGGCCCCCTTCTCGGCGCCGTGCGCGTCGGTGGCTGTGCCCTCCGCCCTGCTGGGCTGCCTGCATGCTTCCCGTGCGAGCGAGCAACCTCTGGTGTGTTGGCGGGGTCGGCTGCTGCAGGGTCGGCAACCTGGCCACCAAGCAGGACTGGGCCATGCTGTCGGTGGATGAGGGGCTGGCAACCTTCCTCGAGTACAAGTGCATAGAGGCGAGTGGGGGGGCCTGCTTGCCTGCTTTATTTCTCTTTCCAGCACACCTCGGTGGCGGCTACTGGAGGGTGTCTGGAGTTCAGCTGCGCCAATGCGCTGCTCATGCGTGCATGCCCACCTGCCTGCCCTCTTGCCCTCCCGCAGTCAATGGATGGCTACCAGGGCCAGGGCAATGTGCACTTCTTCAGGCAAGCAACGTGCCTGCCACCCCGTCGCTCATAAGCATCCTCGAAGCCCGCCTGCGTTGTGCTTGCCTGGCGTCCCGCTTCTCCGCCGCCATCCCTGCGCTTACCAACCCCACTGCCCGCCCCCCCACCCGCCCA